ATCCTAAGATTGCCCGTGGTTTCCGTATGTCCTGGATATTCGTCCCCCCCTCCACTTCCCATATGGTCCACATGTTCGTGAGAATCGACGATTCTTAGTGTCTGTGTGTTTTCTTCCCTCCTGGGGTCCTCGAGGCCCCTCCAGTGAGCGCCATCGAGGTCACTCTCTCTCTCTCTCTCTTTCTCTCTGTCTCTCGGCCTGAGAGTTCTTCGAGCGCGGGCGGCCATCGCCCCCCTCGAGGGCGTTTGCCCCCGAGGGGGGTTGATCAAACTAGAGCGCCATGCGACTCCAGGGGCCGCGGCCCCGCTGGCTGTGAGATGAAGGCAACCGGTGGGGGATTCCGGACACCCTGAACCCAAAAATGCTGCCACCTCTTGGTTGCGCATGCTTTACGTCTGCCACCTTCCGCCGCCCTTCTGCCAGCTTCCGCCGCCGGAAGCCTCCTGGGACCAAACGCTGCGGAGGGCGGAAGGAGCAAAGCGAAGAAGAGGAGGAGAAAGCGAACGGAGAGGGGGGGGGACTGAGCCAGTGCACCATCCCAAACTTGCCCCTCGCCCTCTTTGCGGCTTAGAGAGGCCCATGGGACGAGGGAAGGTGGCCCTCTGAGAGCGGCCAGGAGGAGCGGCAAGGGACGGTGCACTGAATCGACCTCAGGCCCCATCGTCCACTCCCAGGCCCGTCCCCATCGGGCCTCCATACTTACCTCTGAGCCCGCTGCCGTCCATCGGCGAGCTCCTGCCCTGACGACTTGGCCCTGGCTTCTGACGCCGATCAGACAAGCGAGGCGCTCAACCTCATCGCCTGGGCGAAGACCTGCCGCAGAAGCAGCGGCGGGAAGAGCGATGGAAACCGGAGAGGGAGGGAAGGAGGGGCTGGGGCGAGGCCAGGCCTGGCCGCGCCCGTCACGGCCCGACCCGACACGGCCCTGAGGAGTGAGAGGGCGAGAGGGAGGGGGAGGGCGGAGGGGAGGAGGAGGGAGGAGGGAGGAAGGGGGGAGGGGGGCGGGGAAGGGAGGGAGGGAGGGGGGAGGAGGGAGGAGAGGAGGAAGAGAGGAGGAGGAGGAGGAGGAGGAGGAGGAGGAGGAGGAGGAGGAGGAGGAGGAGGAGGTGGAGGAGGAGGCAGAAGAGGAGCGAAAAGGAGGAGGGAGGAGGCGGAAAAGGAGGAGAGTGGGAGGAGGAAAACGAGGAGTAAGAGGAGAGGAGGAGGTGGAGGAGGACGAAGAGGAGGAAGAGGAGGAGAAGAAGGAGGGACGAGGAGGGACGAGGAGGAGGGAAAGGGAGGAGGAAGGAGGAGGAGGAGGAGGGGGAGGAGGGGAGGAGGAGGAGGAGGAGGGGAGGAGGAGGGAGGAGGAGGAGGGAGGAGGGAGGAGGGAAAAGGAGGAGGGAGGAGGAGGGAGGGAGGGAGGGAGGAGGGGAAAGGAAGGAGGAAGGAGGAGGAGGAGGAAGAGGAGGTAAGGGAGGAGGAGGTAATGGAGGAGGAGGAGGAGGAGGAGGAGGAGGAGAGATGAGAGAAGAGAGGGATAGGGGTGGGATGCGAGAGGGGGGGAGCAATGGAGGAGCGCAGAGAATCCATTTCAGGCTGCGCGGGGGTTCTTCTTCTCCAGTCGGGCCCAGAGCAGGCCCCAGAACGGTGCTTCGCCCGCGCCCTCATACAGCCAGCCGACGTGGGCGCCACAGCTGCAGAATACCATTCTCCACGTGCGGCCAGGGAAGAAGGAGTCCTCGCTGCTGGCAGGGCCCGACGCCTCGACGCCCTGCACTTCGGAGAACCGCCCCACGTACATCCCCCCCGGCCGCATCTGGCTGCCTTCGCAGCAGCCCATGCGCGCCACGTCCGCGCCGCACGCCGCGCAGAGCAAGCCGTCGGCGCCGCTGCTGCCCGCGCCAGCGGCCCGGGCAGGCCGCCGTTGCCTGCCGCCGACCCGCTGGAGCCTGGCGGCCAGCGCCGCGGCCGCGGCCGCGCCGGCCATCGCGCCCGCGCCGCGGGTGGGCTCCGCGAGGGCGCGAGCGGCGGCGGCCGACGCAGGTGGCACGGCCAGGCAGGTGATCGCGGCGGGGGCCGACAGCGCCGTGCGGGGCCATCCCGCGGCCGCGGGCGCGGGTGGCGGCCGCAACGCGGAGCTCGCCTGCGGCCGCATGGCCGCGGCCGTTTGCGCGGCGGGGCCCTTGAGCACGGTGCCGGGGGCCCTGGTGGGGAGGCAGCGGGTACGAGTGGGGCGGCGTCTGCCGCGGGCTTCGGGCTGTCGCGGCTGCGGAGGCGGCTGGCGCAGGATAAAGAGGGTAGGGGCAAAGAGGATGAGGACGATGATAAACAGGAGGGTGAAGAGAACGGGGGGAAGGCGGAAGGACCACCCCAGGGCACAGGGCGCAGGACACGCGGCAAGCAAAGCGGGAACAGGGAAGGAGGTGGAGAAAGTGAAGGAGTGGGGGAGGAGGAAGTGGAAGAGGAAGAGGACGAGGAAGAGGAAGAGGAGGAGAAGAGGAGGGAGGGAGGGGGGGAGGGGAGAAAGGGAAGGAGGGGGAGGAGGCGGGGGGGAGGGTGAGGAGGAATATGATGATGATGCTGATGAGGAGGAGGAGGAGGAGGAGGTGGAGGAGGAGGAGGAAGAGGAGGGATGAGGGGGAGGAGAGTTTTTTTTGGGGGGGGGAGAAAAAGGAATGGAAAGAAATTGGCATGGAACAAGAGGTTCCTGACGGAATGGAGTCCTAAATCCTGGGGCCTTCCCGTCAAGACATATTGTTCGTCCTTAGCCGATTTCGAGCAACATCCGGGAGCCCGTCGAGTGCTCCAGAGAGGCAAACATGATTAGAGAAAACTTGGGAATCAGGACCCGTTTCCCTTGGGACCCGCTTGCTTAGTAAGGGAACCAGCGGGAGCACAAGAGGGGGGGCGGGGCTCGGGTCGGACGAACGGTGGGGTGAATAAAGGAAGGGCTGATGAATCAGCTCACGCAACCGGTTTACCGGGCACCTCCTGGCGCCGGGAATCCCCAGTGTATCGAGGAAAGGTCGATGGTGGGCAGGACAGGACAGGACAGGACGTCTGCATGTCAGCGCTGGTAACAGAAGCGGTCCCCTAAAGAGCAGCTGGTCGCACTGAGCATATCGGAAAGTCGAACGCGCTGACCAGCTGATGGCTCGTTGCGGGCACGAAAGCAGCTGCACGCAATAGATTTCGTAGCCCACTCTTTCCCTTCCCCCACCTCATTCGGTCGCGGGTTGACGTCTAGCCGCAACTCCCAGCAGCAGGCAGAGGTCGAACGGCAGCGGACAATTGACCATCAGGCCGAGCTTCCAAGAGCAATTCACTTGGAGAAAGAGGTCGTCGTCATCATCATCATCAGCAGCAGCAGCAGAAGCATCATCATCGGCATCAGTATCATCATCATCGTCATCATCATCGTCATCATCATAATCGTCATAGCCATCATCATCATACTCATCATTAATGTCATCATTATCATCACCACCGTCACCGCAATCATGTTCATCATAGTTCGCATCGTCATCAGCAGCACCATCATCAGGATCAGTATCAGCAGCAGCATCACCTTCACCACCATCATCATACGAATCAATTTCATCAGCATCATCATCTCCATCATCACCATCATCACTATCATTACTACCACCGTCATCATCATCAGCATCATCATACTCATCATCATGTTCGACAATTGCATGACCATCATCACCACCGCTACAACCACCACTACCAACAGCACCTGCAACAACAGCGGCATCATCAGCATCTGCAGTATCAGTATCATCATCTGCCTCATCGTCAGCGTACGAATCATCATCACCATGGTCATCATCATCATCATCATCATCATCAGCAGGAGCAGCATCATCATAACTACCAGCAACATCATCAGTATCATCGCAACCATCGTTATCATCATCATCATCTCATCATCACAATAATCAGCATGGCCATCATCATAATCATCATAATCACCATTACCATCATCATCACCATCATCACCACCATCCTCGTCATCAGCATCATCATCACATTCATCATCATCATCATCATCATCATCATCATCATCATCATCATCATCACCATCATCGCCATCGTCATCAACTTTCTTATCAGCATCACCATCTGTATCCTCATCCTCATCTGAATCCTCCTCTTCATCACCATCAGTCTCGCCATTATCATCAGCATCATCATCAACATCATTTTCACCACCACCGAATCATCATCATCCTCATCACCCTCATCATCCTCATCATCATCGTCACAACCACCCTCATCATCATCATCATCATCATCATCATCATCATCATCATCATCATCATCATCATCAACGTCGTCATTATCCCCATTACCCCCACCACCATCATCATCATCATCAGCAGCAGCAGCAGCAGCACAATCATCGTCATCATCCTCCTCCCCATCATGATCAGCATACCATCATTATGATAGTCGTCAGCAGCATTAGCAGCATACGAAGCATCATGATCGTCATGATCATCATCTTCACCACCATCATCATCACCAGCAACACCTCCACCATCATCATCACCACCACCATCAGCATCATCAGCATCATAATCTGCAGCAACAACATGATCATGATCAGCAGAGGCAACAGCATTGGCATCAGCGTCAACATCATGGTACCCTTGTGTTCCTCATCATTATCATCATCACCGTCATCGGCATCATCATCATCATCATCAGCATCATCATCAAAGTCATCATGATCATCATCATCATCATCATCATCATCATCATCATCATCATCATCAAAGTCATCATCATCATCATCATCATCATCATCATCATCATCATCATCATCGTCGTAATCATCATCATTAGCCTCGCCATCTGCATCTACATCCTCATCCTCATCTACCCATACACATCCTCCCTATTCTCCTCCTCCTCCTCCTCCTCGTCATCATCATGATCTTCAGCATCATCAGCAAAATCGTCGTCGTCATCCTGATCCTCATCCTGGTCCTCATGCTCACCCTCCTCATCCTCATCAGCCTTGCAGCGCACATGCTGAAGGTGGAAGCGGGGCGGAGGAGGACTACGCAGGCGGGCCAGCCCCAACGCCTCTGCTCTGGCCTGTTTCTGCGCGCCACATGCCAGCAGAAGGCCATCGGCCACCCGGAGAAAAAAGTCGCCGCAGGGGGCCTCTGGACAGGGACGGCGAAAAAGCGCGCCGCCTCCGAACAGGGGCGGCAAGCGAAGCACGCGACGAAGGCTTTCCGCAATCTTCGGCGCCTGCGAGTCCTCACCAGGCCCCGGGGTCGTCGAGAAAACGCCTCGGGATCGAAAGCCGGTCCCGGGGATGGGGTCCAGACCGCTGGGGGTCCACGCTGTGACAAGAGCACGACGTCGGAGGGCTGGGTCTCCGGCTCGACCTGGACAGCCACAACTGGGGGAGCTGTGCTCCTAACACCCCAGGGCTAGGTCGGGCATGTCCTCCTGCAGGCGGATTTTGGGCGAAAATCGCAAACTAGTGAATTATTCCCCATATCCTAAGATGGGGTTCTTGTTATTGGCGGACCGCGCCGGAGGAACTCACCCTCACCTCCTCCTCCCTCCTCATCACTCAGACTCACTCATCACGCAGACTCATTCAATCACTGAGACTCACTCATCATCCAGACTCACTCATCACTCAGACTCACTCATCACTCAGACTCACTCATCAATCACTCAGACTCACTCATCACTCAGACTCACTCATCACTCAGACTCACTCGTCATCACTCAGACTCACTCATCACTCAGACTCACTCACCACTCAGACTCCCTCATGCTCATTTTCATTCAGACTCAGTCATGACTCAGACGCACTCATCACTGAGACGCAGTCATCACTCAGACTCAGTCATCACTTAGACGGCCCCGAGAACAACTCACCACTCAGACTCGGTCCACTCATCAGATGACTCATACACACACACTGATGTTGAGGATGTCTCAGGCGATTCCGTGGCTTCAGCACTCCTAAGGGGGGCGGCGGGGGGCGTTATCACGGGGCCCCGTTCGCGGAATTTTGTGGGGATGTCTCAGGCGGTTTGGCCAATTTCTGCTCCAGCATGTTTCGTTTTCGGGTCAGATTTGGAGGATGTCTCAGGCGATTCGCTCGTCTCAGCACTCTAAGGGGAGCGGCGGGGGCGTTATCACGGGGTCTCGTTCGCGGAATTTTGTTGGGATGTCTCAGGCGGTTTGGCCATTTTCTCTTCCAACATGTTTCGCTTTCGGAGCAGATTTGGAGGACGTTCGCGCCCAGTTTGCGGGGATGTCTCAGGCGGTTTGGCCGTTATGATGCTGGGCATCTGTCGTTTTCGGAGCAGTTTTGGGAGGATGTCTCAGGCGATTTGCTGGTTTCAGCACTCCCAAGGAGGAGGAGGAGGAGGAGGAGGAGGAGGAGGAGGAGGAGGAGGAGGAGGAAGGAGGAGGAAGCGAGGAGGAGGAGGAAGAGGACGAGGAGGAGGAGGAGGAGGAGGACAGCATGAACACGGTAGGAGCAGAAGCAGGAAGGGGATGGATGATGATGATGATGATGATGATGATGAGGAGGAGGAGGAGGAGGAGGAGGAGGAGGAGGACGTGGGCAACTCGAGTAGCCAGGGCCAGACGATCGAGGTTCGATGTTCCAAAGCTTTAGGTTTTACTCAAACGCTTCCGCCTCACTCTCCTTCGCTCTCCGCTCTCCTTCACTCTTCTGCATTCATACTCGCTCATACTCAGACTCAGTCACACGCAGGCTCACTCGCACTTAGACTCGTTCATATCCATACTTAAAGTTTCTCACACTCAGACCCACGCTCAGAACCACTCATACTCAGACTCGCTCCTGCTCAGACTCATCATCCTTCGGTCCGCTCAAACGCAGACCGACTCACACTCAGACTGCCTCACATCCATACCCAATCACACTCGGCTCCCTCGCACTCAGATTCACTAGCACACACGTATTCTCACACTCAGACCCACTCAAGCCCAGACTCACTCATGCTCAGACTCATCATGCTACGATCCGCTCACCCACAGACTGGCTCACACTCAGATTCGTCCATACTCAGGCCCAGTCGCACACAGACGCACTCGCGCTCTTATTTGCTCACACGCATACCCACTCAAACCCAGGCTCAATCGCACCCAGATTAACTCACACTCAGAATCAGTCGCTCTCAGATTTGCTATTGGTCGCACTCATGCTTGCAGACTGTGGGAATGTCTCGAGCGAGCGGTTCGCCCTCGCACACAGGTGCTCATTGACAGATATCAAGAGAAAGACGTACCAAGATAATGAGATGCACGTGTGGGGAGCCCCGCGTCGAGTAATTCACTGCGTGGGGCTCCCCATATGTGCATCTATTCGCGTGGACCTGTCCGCCGTGAATGTCTAAGCGCAAGAGCTTTCGAATATAAGCGGGCTTCACTTGTGACGGTCTGGTCATGAATCTAACTGCGAATGAATTGGAGTGTGAATGAGCCTCAGTAGTACGAGCGCGTCTCTGCGCATGAGCCTGGGGCCTCCTGGGACCTCCTGAAACCTACTGGGGCTTCCTGGGGCCTCCAGGAGCCTCTTGGGCCCTCCTGGGGCCTCCTGGGACCTCCCAGGGAGGCTTCGTGCCCCAGGAGATGCCTAATTCATAGCAGCCGACGTTCATAAAACATTGCGGATTGGAGCCACAGGAGAAGGGCAACCTATAGGAACACACGTAAAGCACCAAGGACTCGTGCCCCAGGAGAGGCCCAACATACAGGAACATAAGTAACACATTTAGGATTGTGTTCGCAGGAGAAGGACAATCTATAGAAACATACGTATAACGTCAAGGATTCGTGCTCCAGGTGAGGCCCAATATATAGGAGCATACGTAAAACACATGGGATCGGAGCCACTCCTGTTGCCTTCTCAGGCCTCCTGCTCCTGGGGCCTCTCGGGGCCTCCTGTTGCCTTCCGAAGTCTCCTGGCGCTTCCTGTGGCCTCCTGGGGCCTCCTGTGGCTTCCTGAGGCCTCCTGGAGCTTCATGGGGCCTCCTGGAGCTTCTTGGGACATCTTGTGGCCTCTTGAGTCTTTCTGTGGCCTCCTGGTGCCTCCTGGGACCTCATGTGGTCCCCAGTGGCCTCCTGGAGCTTGTTGGAGCATCCTGTGGCACCCTGAGAAGAATCTGTGCCCACGAGTCTGGCCACCAAAACAAGCAAACCGAACGAGACATCCTCAAAATCTGGCCCACCTGGGGGGTGACAATGAGCGCCTCGCTCGAGAAATCCTCCACATCTGCTCCGAAAGCGAAGGCTGTTGGGCCAGAAAACATGCAAACCGCTTGAGACATCCGCACAAAACGGCCGCGAACGGGACCGTGCCATACCCTCGGCGGCTCCCCTTAGGGGCGTGAAAATGAGCGCCTCGCTCGAGACACCCTCCAAATCTGCTCCGAACGCGAAGGATGTTGGGCCAGTAACATGCAAACCGCTTGAGACATCCCCACAAAACGGCCGCGAACGGGACCGTGTCATACCCCTCGGCGGCTCCCCTTAGGGGCGTGACAATGAACGCCTCGCTCGAGACATCCTCCAAATCTGCGCCGAACGCGAAGGATGTTGGGCCAGTAACATGCAAACCGCTTGAGACATCCCCACAAAACGGCCGCGAACGGGACCGTGTCATACCCCTCGGCGGCTCCCCTTAGGGGTGCTAAAATCAGCGCCCAGCCTGAGACATCCTCACAACCTGCTGTGTGTAGAGTAAGTCAGACAATGAGAAGGCCTGAGTATGAGAAAGTCTGGGTATGAGTGAGTCTCAGCATGAGTAGGTCTGAGTATGAGTAGGTCTGAGTATTAGTAATATTATGTGTGTGTGTGTGAGTAAGTATGGGTATGAGTAAGTCTGAGTGTGAGTCAGTCTGTGTATGAGTAAGTCTGGGTATGAGGAGGAGAGGGGAGGAGAAGGAGGAGGAGAAGGAGTAGGAGGCGTCAGAGTAATAACAAAAAAAAAATCTTAGGATATGGGGAAAAACAAAATTTAAAATTGTCCAGAATACTCGAAAAATCGTGCCCTGACTATTTTTGACTATGTTTGCATATTCCTCCTGCAGAAGGACAGGCCCGACTTACCCCAGGGGGAACCCATCGTATTGCCGATCTCTCGAGACGGGCGTCGGATCCGAGGGGTCCCCCAGCGGGTGGGGGGAGGGGCATTGGCGGCGAGCCAGGGCGGAGGCGGAGGAGGAGGCGGAGGAGGAGGAGGGGGAGGAGGAGGAGGAGGAGGAGGAGGAGGGAGGAGGAGGGAGGAGGAGGGAGGAGGAGGCGGAGGCGGAGGAGGAGGAGGAGGGAGGGAGGGGCCTCGGGCCTCGGGCCTTCCGAGAAGTTGTCTGAGCCTTCCCCGAAGGCACGGGAAACCCCTCGCAGGCCCAGAAGCCCCGCCGCCTTCCGAGAAGGCCTCCTCCTCCGGACTCCCCCCCCTCGCGCTCACCGCCGACGTGAGCACCGCAGCTCCTCCCGTCGTGGCCTGTCTGTCCAGCGTGCTCCCACGGCCGTGCTCGCACGCGGCCATGGGGCGCCATCGATGCACCGACCTGCACCGGCGCTGGCCCGGCCCGTGCTGGGCGCCCTCCTCAGACAAACGCGCTCCACGACTCGCACAGTAACTACTCGCAAATGGCCTGGATCTGCAGCGGGGGTCTACGATCCATGACAAGTAGGCAAACACATGCTCGGACGTCTGGGAGTAGGCACTTAGCGAAAGGTGGAACGCGCTTGGTGACTCCTGGCTCAGCCAGGGATGGCATGTGCACCGATCCTGGGCCCAAGACTGGGCCTGGCTGGGATGAGTGTAGGTTTATGATTGCCGCCCTCCGAACTAGTGATCGTCCGCGGCACAGTCTTAGTGCGACCGCAGCTAGAGACAGCGGGAAAATGCCAACTCGAGGGGTGCAGCATACCTTACCTTGTCGCAAGCTATGCCGCTTGATGGCCTTGTCGAGCAAAACATAATGATCGCCATCTCCGCTCAGCTTGCGGGGGGGGGAGAAAGGATAAGTGCAATGCAGAGGTAAGGGGGTGGGGGGGCGAGAGAGCGGGGGTTGAGAGAGAGGGAGAGGCGGGGTGGAGAGTAAAATAGAAGGGGGAGGACCAAGCTCAGTAACCGACCGACAGGATACTCGTCAGGAGGAGGATGGGCAGCGAGGAGAAGGAGCAGCGACGAGGAGTAGAAGAAGGACGACGACCACGACGGCGAAAAGGCTGTGGGCGGTAGCCTCAGAGGCCAGCGGCAGCGCGCCAGCCCCGCACCCGGCCAGCGTGACCAGCAGCGGCCCGCCAGTGCAACTTGGGGGATCTGCAGCTCCCTGCGCAGAGAGGGATGCTCTGCCGATGCTCTGGAGCGCCCCATGGGGGGGAAGGCAGAGGCGGAGGGCCTTGTGTAGAGGCCTCTCGACTGAGGTCCTAGTAGATGGGGTGGGAGGATCGCGCCGCATCGCAAGCAGATGCATCGACGACATGTCGGTACATCGGCGCTGTCGCCCTGGAGAAACCCGGGCTCCACAAAGGGCATCGGCGATGCGGCGCGACCCTCCGACCCCGCCCGTCTGCTCGGACCCCGCCTGGGAGGCCTCGAACGTGAGAGAGCTCAGCAGGAGCCCCCAGCCGTCAGCGCAGGCTCCCTGGGCCCTCTCCGAAGCCCCGCCGCCTCCCGAGAGGGCCTGCCCTCGCTCACCTCTCCCCCCCCCTCGGCGCGGCGCGGCGAGCGGCGCTCTCCCGATGCTCCACGGCCGTGCCTTGCTCCCAGCGGCGCACGCGGTGCTCCGCGGGCGCACCACGCGTCGCCTCGGCGTGCCGAGCACGGCCCCGAGGCCTGTGGAAGGCGCGGCCGCAATGCAGGAGGCGCAGCACGTCGCTGGTGCATGCTCGGCCGAAGAAGAGGACTGACCGGTCGCCTGATGCACATTGCAAGCCCAGTGTCAGGACACAGGTGCGCCCATCCCGACACCGCGAGTCCTCCAAGCATGACGCGCCTGCAGCCAGCGCGCTTCGATGCGAGGACATTCGCCCTCGCCTTCAGCAACCTGGGCACGTTCGGGCGCCTGCTTCAGCTCCTTGCCTTGTCATGTGCATGGAAGAACATGTCCAGCGCCAGCGCATACTATACCTAAGACTCCCGCGAGCATGCCTGCAAGACCCACTAGCCCCACAGAGCTGGACCATTCGCCTCCGCCTAACGGGTTGCTTAATGTATCTTGCCAGCCCGACGTCAGAACACAGTTGTCTACGAATACGCCTGCAAGAGCCACTGGCCTGACAGAGCTGGAGCATCCGCCTCCTCGCCTGCTGCATGAGCCTGATGATTTCGACGCAAGCAGAGCATTTTACACACGACCCAGCCCATGAGAGTCGCCGCAGCGCTGAAGACGGCAGCCGCGATAAAGTGAGCTGAGCTGTATGAGCCTCAGCACATGGCGCAACCGCTCCTCAGACAAACCGACCTAGCATACCACGAGTCCGCCCGTCGGGTGCGCCCTTCTGCGCGAGGGCGGACGCCTGACTCAGACTCAGGTCGCCTCGGCTCCACGCCGCGCGGACTCTTCGACCTGCCCAACACCTGCAGCTTCAGGACGTGCAGGCAGAGCATGTGTGCCGCAAGCGTGGGACCACCGACGCCGGGTGGGCGGCCACGCGGACGAGCTCGCCACCCTCGGAGGGCGAAGCGGCTCTCTGCCCGTGCGCGTGCCCCCGCGCAGCTGCGGGCCCGACGCTGGACGGCAAACGCGCGCCGTCTCGCCGCGCAGCTGCGGCCTCGCCCGCTGCCCTGCCGGCGGCGCCGCCTGCAGCAGCCGCCGCACCAGCCTCGAGCATCGGCCCGACGCCCCTGCGGGCAGCGCCTCTCTTGCCGCGGAGGTCGAAACCTTGTCGGGCGCGGCCTGGCCGGCCCCTGCCGTGGCGAGCCCCTCGCCCTCGAGGCTCCCCTCAGGCCGCCGGCCCACGTCTTGGAGCGAGGCGACAGGGTCGGCACTGAATGGGGCGGTCCGGTCAGGCCGCCCCTGATGTCTGTGGTATGCTGCGGTCGTCGCAATGCTTAGCTTTCCGGGTGCTCCGAGCACCCGGAAAGGGGGGCAGGAGAGCACGCGCGTGCCCTCGTCGCCGCAGTGCCGCATCGTCGTGGGTCTGCAACGAAAGCCTGCCACAGTTGGAGGTTTGTAACGTAGACGATCTCCGCGACGCTTGGCGGTGGGGGTGCCAGATCTGGGCTGGCTACACATGATACAGAACGCCCCCACTACGCGACCCCTGATTGAGCGTTTGAGCCTGGGGTTAGGAGGCGGATGATGATCATAATGATGACGGTGATGATGAAGACGACGATGCGTTCAATGATGAGTAAGCGGTATAGGGTAGAGGAAGACGATGCTGAGCAGACAACAAGGAAAAAATGAAGAGAACGACAATTACGATGATGCGGAAACTACCAAGTGAATGGGGAGTGGACAATGGATGGATGCGTATGCTCGTCCTTGCGATTGGCGAAGGCCATACAAGCGCATACCCTTTGATCTGCGACACACAATCTACAAAACTACTCCCAAGCTCACACACCATGAGCAACAGCGCCTACCAACCAAATAAAGTCGCGGGCCAAGATGTTGCCGCAATGAGCGGACGCTCCACGACTAGACAACAAAACAATTAAACGTCGCTCCATGGCGATCTGTCTCCTTATCTGGCCACCCCTCCTCTTACACTTCGTTCCTGGTCTCTGTTTCCTTTTAGCCTCTGCTTGCTCATTTCTCCTTCTCCTCCTCCTCCTCCTCCTCCTCCTCCTCCTCCTCCTCCTCCTCCTCCTCCCCATCATCATCATCATCATCCTGCCCCCCTCCTACTGCGACCCCCCTTCCTCCCTCTCATCCCCAGATCTGCTACAAGAGGACACCGTCAGGCACGGCGCGCAACTAGCCTTGCCTATTTACCTCCGTTCCCTCCTCCCTCCAGCCTCCATAAGGGTCGACGGTTGGGGCCTGGGTGGTTTTTATCCGCCGGGCAGGGCAGGATATGAGTACTGCCACAGCTGATTCTGGGCTTTGAGCTCCATCCTTGCGGTCCCTCCCTCGAACAGTGGAGGAACCCCAGACGGCGCTGTGGAGCTTGACGCTTCCTCCTGCCGAATCGATCCGATCCGATCACGCCTGTATTCCCCTCCCTCCGTCCCCCCTCTGTCCCTCCTCCCGCCACCTCGCGCCTTGTCCCAGAATCCTTGCCCCTCCTCTCTCAATGTCCATGAACCCGTGCCCCAAAAATCCTCTTTCCCCTCCTCTCCTCCCTGTCCCCCCCCCCCTCCTTTGTCCCAACTCCCTTGTCCCTCTCGCCCCTTGTCCCTCCTCGTCCCCCCTCGTCACTCCTCCCTGTCCCTTGTCCCTCCTCCTCGGCCCCCTCCCTCCCTCCACCCTTTGGAGGAGGAGGAGGGTGAGGAGGAGGAGGACGGGGGAGGAGGGAGGAGGAGAAGGAGACGTAGCCCGAGGCGGAGGAGGCGGAGGACGTGGGAGGAGGAGGAAGAGGAGGAGGAGGACGAAGGATGAGGGAGGAGGAGGAGGAGGAGGAGGAGGAGGAGGAGGAGGAGGAGGAGGAGGAGAAGGAGGAGGAGGGAGGGGAGGAGGAGGAGGAGGAGGAGGAGGAGGAGGAGGAGGAGCAGGTCCCCAACAAAAAGATCCTGGCCCCTCCTCGCGCCGGCCTCCGCGGGCCCCGCGCGTGGCCCCCTCCCTTCCCCCCCCCGCCTCGAACGTGGGGCGGGGGCCTCTGGCGGTGACCTCCGTCCGGGGGAGCCTGCTCCCAGAAAGCTCCCAGGAGGCCCAAGCATGCCCCCAGAGGTTCCCAAAATGCCTCCTCCGCCGCCTCCTCCTCCTACGCCTCCTCCTCATCTTCCTCTTCCTCCTCCTCCGCCTCCTTCTCCGCCTCCTCCTCCTCCTCCTCCGCATCCTCCTCCTCTTCCTCCTCCTCTTCCTCCTCCTCCTCCTCGTCTCCTTCTCCTTCTCCGAGCTCCTCTGATGCTGCAACAAAAAACCCAGGCCTCTGCGCAGCCACCTCCTGCAGCCGCCGCAGCCGCGCCCTACGCTCTCCCAATTTGCGTCGGGCCCACGTCGGACTTACTTCTGGCTCACGGCGGATTGTGTCGGAGTAAAGTCGGACTCGGGCCAGACCTACGCGCGAACGCCGATCCATATCTGACGGTGCGACGTGCGAACTAGATAATACAATTGTTGCGCGTCGCGCGGGGCCTCGAGGAAAAAACGGATAAACATAAATTTGTGGCGTTCCGCACGGATTCCTTGGATCCGCGCTAGAGCGCGCCAGGGGCGGCGCCGGAGGCGCCGCCGGGGGGCTCAGCGCGGATTCGAGAACTCCGTGCGGAGCGCCTAAAGTTTATGCTGACGGCTCTTCTTCTTCTTCTTCTTCTTCTTCTTCTTCTTCTTCTTCAAACGTGGGAGTGACCCTTGCGGGCGTTTTCTGATTCGGCGTAAAGAGGGGGGTCTGGCTCCAGACCTCTGCTTCGTGCGACTGCTTGCAGCAGTGCGTACCATGGGGGAGACTTCCCCTGCTTGAAACAGGCGCCAAAAAACAGCCAAGATCTACTCCATGGGGGGGAGAGTGCGCGAGGGCCCGCGCCGATCGGCAAAACAATGAATAAGAGAACGATCACCTTCGCTAGAGTGACCTTTGCTGCTGGTCTCAAGGGGTTCGGGTGATTTTCTTTCGGAATGAGCTTGATCTCGCGTCGGCACCCGCATCGCGTGATTGCGCGTCGTCCCGCAGATCGTTGATTCGGGGCGGCAATACTGGCTTGCGCGGTTGCGTTGGGCCCCCACGGGCGCCGTTGAAGCCGCGCACCAAAGGTCACTCCCGCCTATAGGGTCACTCCTACATGTAGTCGACGCATACCCCTGTGATCCTTGCGCTGCAACTTGTTCACACTGGCCATGCTCTCCTTGTTTCGGGCCCCATCGATCCGG